CTAAAAAAAAAATTAGAAACAGAATTAATGCACTTATGGAAGCAAACCTGGACTGAAGCAACTACCGGCAGAAGAACGTTTTACTTTCATATCAAAAACCTTCAAGATCATTAATATCTACCAACCGTTCAATTACATTTTTCCTAACAGCTCATGGTCCATTTCCAGAATACCTTCATAGATTCGGACTTCAGCATACAAATCTCTGTACCTGTGGTAATGAAGGCACAATAGATCATTATCTCTTTCACTGCAACCTTACTAAAGATTATCACCTTAAAGCATACAGTTTAACTTCTGCTCAGTTATGGTTTCAACAGTTATTAAAAAGTAATATTCTCAATAATCTTCATAATATAATAAATTATATCTCCGCAAACATCGATAATCTTAAAGGAACTTGAAATCATTATTCTTTGTTCATTTACCTTACTTAATAAGCCATTCTTTCTACTACCTCATTTTAATGCTTTTACTCAAGACTATCTTTATTTAAACCTTCAAGATCTCTCAAGCTCGATCAAGAATTTAAGGATATTTTCTAACTCCATCTCCTTAATATATTAATAAAGTCTCAACTCAAGATTTTTAGTCAAGTCTTTTACTCAAGAATGACTCTCTATCAAGAATTTCTACGAACTTTTCATTCAGGTCATCCTAATTCATTCAAATACTATTTCTCATCAACTTTTATTCAATTACTGCTCTTCATTCTCCATAATGAAATACTTTACTCTTTACATATCTTACATTCTCAGCCTCTACTATTCTTATACATTATGTTGTTCATTTTCAAAATTTGTAATGATCTTCTTAAGTATTTACTTATCTATTTACGTTTCATTTACTTTCATATTTTTTTTAGGTATTATGCTTTTATATATTTAATTTCTTCAATTTTTATTATATAATTCTCAAAATTCTGATACTTTATTTGACTTCATTTGACTATTATATAACACCATTGTATTTATCTTATTCTAAATTTTTAACTTTTATTTATTGTATCTATTTATGTTTATTATTTATTGTATTATTTATATATTTATTTCTTGATATTTTATTTTTATTATGTAATTATCAAAATTCTAAAATTTTATTATATTTTACATAACAACACAGTTGGTAGATGATTCCATTAGTTGAGCGTAAAAGCTGAATGTCTTAAAGGCGGTGCAGCTGCTCATCTGATGGTAAATAAAATAAATAAAATAATGTGAAAGCAGAACATCGAATCAACATCAAGTTTCTAGTGAAACTTAAGAAATCAACCACGGAGTAAAGATTTCAAATGTTAACAGAGGCTTATGAAGATGAACTTTGTATCATACAAGTGTGTTTGAATGGCATTAGTGGTTTTCAGGGAAAAGGGACAGTGTGGAAGATGATGGGGGTGCCCAGCACATTCATCATGATTGAATGGGTTCCCAGTGGTCAAACTGTTAATCAACACTGCTACATTGAAGTACTAAAACTACTTTGTGAAAAAATTAGGAAAAAATGGCCATAGTTGTGAAGCGATAGATGGCTGTTGCACCAGGACAATGTACCCGATCACATGGCCGTATCCGTCAAGAAGTTTCTGACCAGCAAAAACATTACTGTGTTGAGGCATCTTCCTAATTCACCTGACTTGGCACCATGCAACTTTTTTTTATTTCCTTACTTACTTCAAGAGAACCCATCTTACCTCACCTGAAGAGGTTCAGGCAAAATTGCAGAATCTCCTGAAGGGCCTTCCAAAAACCTTGTTCCAGAACTGTTACCGGCAATTGCAGCACCGAATGCAGAAGTGTGTGAATGCTGAAGGGAACTACTTTGAATGTGATAATGTCATGAAGAATTGTTTCTGTAAGTACAATGATTTATTGGACCAGTCTCTTTTTGTGTGTGTGTGTCACACCTTGTGTACATATACATACATATGCATTTTCTAATTATTTTTATTTGTACCCAATGAAAAGTTGCCAGTCTACATGTTGACTTTATGGAAGGGCAGAAAACGTTTACTTGGTTAATTTTACAATTCACAGACACTGTTTTACTCATAAAATAATAACATTTTATAAGAAATGAAGAAAACAAAAATATATATGGCTAGCATTCTTACAGCCACACACTGGATACAGTCAAACACAGGATACGTGAAAGCATAGGTTGGCTATCATCGCACATATATTCAAAAATATGCCCAAAACATGGTATTTCTACCGCATGTTGAAAAGGTGCAGATTATCAGAAAATACTTGCACATATATATCTATATATTATTGCTGCTAATGCTCACTTGTCTGACCTATAATCGGCCCAACCCCAAGAAATTCCTCGTGGCAAGGAGTGCAAGTTTATGCCTGTCTAAGGTGACTAGACATCCGGATTTCAAACTTCATGCCTCAAGGTCTCTCACTTGTCCAGCTTTACTGCAAGAGACTCTTAACATCAATTAACTCGAACTGGCTGCCACAGCGCATGATGATGCATTGCTGATGCTTCCAATAAGGCTATGATGTCATCACTCAGAAATGCGGGAATAAGCGAGGTGGCGACCGAGTCTCAGTGCGTTGGTGGCTAAGGTGGTTTGTACGTGCGATTGTCGTTTTTCAGTGGTTATTTAATTTTTTCTCATGTGAGTGACGTTACCCGAGGCTGCCAAAATGAAAATTGAAAGTCAACAAAGAGTTACAAAGCAAGTTTCCATTCATTTTGGATCACATTTCTCCGATGTTCAGCAGGCGTGCAGATATAACGAAGCATTTGAGTACGGATCATCACAAAAACGCCTTGAAATTGCAGACATCGTCAGGTACAATCACAAACTATTTTTCGAAATCCGAGTTAGGTGAAAAGGAAGCTAGGTTAGCTGCTACAGAAGGTACCTTTGTGTACCACACGATAGCTTTAGGTTGATGGACTATACTTCCAAATTAACGCAAAAGTGTTTTAATCCAGAATTCACTTTCGTAGAAACAAAATTTGAAGCCATTGTCGTGAATGTACTCAGTCCATATGTAATAAACAAAGTCAAAGCAGATTAAATGCTACGAATTTTGTGACAGTGTCTACAGATGCATCGAACCATAAGGATGTCAAGCTATTTTCTGCGATAGAAAATATTTTGTGCCACTGTCAGGTGGTAAAGTTAAAATCCTGGACATGCAATCTCTTCCTGGAGAAACCGTACAGATGATTTGCAATTTTCTTGTAAATGCATTACAACAACATTGTTTGATTAAAAAAGGTTGTTGGCTTCTGTGCAGACAACGCTAACACGAATTTGGGGATTAAAAAGAAGGGGTAGAAACAATATGTTTTCAATATTACAGGATGCCCTCAGGAGGAAACTGCTAGGTATTGGTTGTGCTGCTCATATAGTCAACAACACAATCCAAACAGCAGGAGATTGCTTCCAAATTTATGTGGAAGCAGTTTATTATGAAAATTTATTATTATTTCTATATCTACACTGTATGTGTTGAGTCAATCAAAGAATTTTGAGACTTGGCCTGTGTAGAGTACCAGTGCATTTTAGGATATGGGAAAACTAGATGTTTATCACTGATGCCTGCAGGAGAGAGAGTTTTAAAATTCTTTCCTGCACTGAAACCCTATTTCTTGTCAGAAGGGAAGTGCCCCACCATAATCTGAAACTTTTTTTAGAATTCATGTTCCGAATTGTGGCTCTATTTTGTACATATCGCTGCGGTGTTTTAAGTGGTAATTCTGTACATAGAAACGGACTGTAACGCCATTGGAAGTCTCTTCTGAACAGGGTGATTTAATACATAAATTCAGTGAGAGGAACACAAACTTTTTGCCCAATGAAGTATGTATGTGGATAACTCAATTAGATAAAAAAGGATTGGTGAGAAAAAATGGCATTTTAAGAACCGTTGTAAATATTTATGACTGCTCTAAATACCTGAAAGAGAGGGTTGAGCAGTTCAAAGATCTAAATTCATTTAGCTGGGTTGCATTAAAAGAGCCATCGTCATGAAAAAAGTACAAGAGAGCTTGCAACTTTTGCGGTGGAAGGTTCTGAAGGTTGACATCGATGATAACGAGTTATTTGATGAAGCTACATTAGCCAATTTATTTCACCACAAAAGATGGCAGATTGGACTTGTCAGAAAACTAGTGTTGACTGTCAATGGGCTGAACTTTTTCGTCATTTCAAGAATAAAAGAGTGCCATGTGAGCAAATACAGAAAATTTTGGAGTTTTTGTCATGTCTCCCAGGGACAAATGCCGCCAGTGAGAGTTTTCTCCTCTATGAATATCATATGGACAAATGAAAAGACACAATTAAAACTGGAAACACTACAAGCAATGTTAATGGTAAGTACATTTCTGAGTTTGACAGTTCCTGTTATGAAGATGCCTTACAAGAACCAAAACTTCTTAGAAGCATTCATTAATCCATGAAATACATCACCTACACAGGATGATCCTTCTAGGTCAGCAGCTGATCAGTTGATTTAATAACTGATTCAGTCTCAGATATGGTAAATTCTTTTTTTTTCTTGCAATAATAGAGTCTGTTTAACACACACAGCTAATTCACAAATGATGAGTAACACTCTTTACAGGACAATACGACTTCACTAAAAATTTTGCACTCCATATTTTCACTTTCAGTGTTATGTGTTTATTGTAAGGTATTTTTTAAAACATATAATACTTATTTAATAACTGATTACAGCGGATGTATTTTAATCGAAAACAGTTCGCTGTGTATTTGCGAAAATAAAACATTAAAATATAACTCTTAATGTATTATATAATTCGAGTTTAAAATTAAAAGCGGAACTTTAAATTGCGAAAGAGCGTTATATTTTGATATGTCGATGATAACCTTACCGAGTTACATAAATATCAATAGTTCGACGATCTTTTTAAGAATACTTGCTAATTCATCAATCGTAAGTAATTTTTAATGAAAACTGACATATAAAACCTCATAGTACAATGAAAAGCTAATTTACAGAACATTACAAAATTACCTCTGGAAAGGAACGTATGACTATAACGCCAAATATTCCAGTTGAGGGGAGAGAATTTGTTGTACTGTAGAGTAACATGTAGTTTATCTGCTCTCAAACCTGAAATCAACAAATTTGTTTGTTTGAAAACATAATTTGACGAATATAGGAGAAAGACAAAAAGCTGCATTTAAGAACTACATAATTACTTGTACGCGTGTCTGATACTATTAATTTGCTATACTGTTTACATAAATTCAGTACTGCAACACGACTAACCGCCATTTGTAAGCAGAGCCAGAATTAAAGTTGCCAGATAATGTTGTACTAATCCAGGAAGTATAGAATATTAGTAAAACAGGCATAAAATTTCCTGTTTTATTAATTAGCGATAAATTCCTAAATTTATTTCATTAATTACAGAAATTATCTTAAAATCAAGGTTTAGGTGTTTAATTAAATTTAGATTTGTCTGATGCAAATGAATGTTTTTACAAATGTATAACAATCAGGGCAGGCGCTAGACTTTTTCCCGCCCTGTGCAAACTTTGCAACTTCAAAATTCTGCCGCCCGGTTCCTTCCTCAGTTCTAAAACTTTTTGCGGCTAAAAATTTAGTTCTACCGCCTGAGGCAGCCACTCCGATTTCACATGCTCTGGCGCCAGCCTTAACCTACCCCACTTTTCGAATTTTTGACGTCACGGAAATATCGACTAGTTTCACCTGTCAAGACGGCGTACCCCACTTTTGACTACTACGGCGCGTTTTCGAAAGAATTGTGGTGTTGATTAGTGTGTTTAGGTGCTAATTGTGAGATTTTCGCAATTTAAATTATTATGAGTGGAAATTTAAGCAAAATCTTTAGTGAATAGTTGTTTATCGCCGTAGTGTACTTGAGGAAAGAGGAGAATAATTTACTGCTGATGCATTAACAGTATGAAAATTTGGAAGACTCGGCAATAAATGTGATGCATTCATCGCAAATTCAGCGAAGCCAGTAAAACAAACGAGTGTTCGCAAAACTTAATCCACATCTGAAGTCACTATACAAAAATTGTATGTGTGCCAACCCATATATTTTAATAAATAAATAAATTTAAAAAAAAACTTGCAGAAAACTTTAGATCAAGGAATAAGGGTAAAATCCTAGTATACGGTGCAGCCTTGGCGCAATTTGAAAATTATCGCCAACACCAAAAATGATCCAAAGAACGTCTATATATATATTATACACACATAGTATATATACTATATACATACTATATACTATGTTTAACTGTATATTTTCTTTGAATGACCCGTTAACTACTCATCGTATGTGTCCCGTTTTTACTGCTCATCATAAAGTCGCCAAAAGTAGCCAAATCCCGTGTGAACCGGATACTAGGATTAAACCGGAGGCTCAGGTGCTGGGCACTTCAGCAGGCTCCTAGGCTGGCACAGCCATATCCTGTGCAGAATTCATTGTAGATAGGCATATCTTTCATGGCATAACATATTGGAGAGTATAACAGAGGAAGAATAATTTTTCCTCAAGAGAGTTCAGTGGTTGTTGTATCATGGCATAGGTAAAGATAAGCAATTCCGTACGATAGTCAATTCATGAGCCTTGCGTACATACAAATCGTAAAGTCAGAACGTCCGTCAAGAGAGATAAGCGTAACAGTTACTGCTTCGACGTCCGGCGCTCAAATGAGTGAGAAACAGGTAACAGGGCAGGTCCATGGCTGGATGGGAGGAGCTACTGGTCATGTGATCCAATGGGAGTCCTGGAAAGAGAGTGCATTTTCTTGCTCGACAGGCATTGGTGGGGGGAAATTTTAAAGTTTAAACTTGGTTGAAATCCTGAGTACATTTATTTGATATAATAAAAAGAAAGTTATCAAGATACAATACAATAATGAGAAGTAAAGGGATCCTGGACTGAAATAAGTTGGCCTAATTTTAATGCGTTCTGAACTAAGTATTAAAATAAGATATATTGTAACATACAAGGTGTTGGTGAAATGAATTAGTGATTCTTATTCTGCAAGACAGATGGCGACACATGAGCGTGTGCTTTTAAGAGTTGCATATGTACGGTGAAGGTATGCAAACATAAAACAAATATGGAAATGCATAAAAGTAGTACTTAAAACAGTAGATAAAATTAAATTAAGTGCCGGAGAACTGCTCCGGGTCTTTTTTTGTTAGCTTCGCTGGTATAATCATAATTTAGTCTTGGGATAGAGCTGTTGTTGATCTTTTCGATGTTGTTGAAGAATTTCCGTGCTATTTTTGCTATGTGTATGCTAATGCTTTCAATATTTAACTCGTTCTGAATAGCCTCGTTCCTGAAGAACCAAGGACTATTGGATATAATCCTCAGCATAACATTTTGACTTTGCTGAATTTTCAGCATGTGAGTTTTGCACACATAACCCCAGACTGGGCAGGCATAGGTGATAATAGGTCGCAGCATGGATCTATATACATGAAGTTTGTTTTGTATAGATAAAACGGAGTTTCGGGCAATTAGGGGGTTGAGTAAAGCTTTAGTACCCCGAAACTTGTTCAAAACAAATGTTATGTGTGGGGCCCAAGTGAGTTTTTGGTCTAAAATGACACCGAGGTATTTGGCTTGCTTGGCCCAGGGAATGCTGATGTCGTACATTTTGAGGGTGATACTTAAGTCGAAAATCCTTTTCTTCGTGAAATAAACAGCTTCCGACTTTTCAACATTTATCTTGATTTTCCACTTAATCATCCAGGACTCTAAGAACACATCCAGGAACATGGATGTGTTCTTGTAGTGCCTGTACGTCTGCGGCCATAGACGCAGCTTGGTAGAGGATCGCAGTGTCGTCTGCATAGAGTGCTAGTGTGGTGAGAGGGTTGTGAGGGATGTCGTTCGTATAAATAGAAAATAATGTGGACGAAAGTAAACTTCCTTGCGGTAAGCCCGCAAGGGTTACTTTCCGTGTAGAGTGAGTGTTGTTATAACGAACGACACGTGTCTATATAGATAGGAATTAATGATGTTAATGATATAATCTGGGAAACCCAGAGTGATTAGCTTGTATGTGAGGCCCTGTAACCATACACAATCAAAGGCTTTCGAAATATCGAGAAAGAGTGCTCCAGTGATGTGTCTTTTTTGGAATCCTTCAGCAATCATTCCTGTGACTCTGTACAATTGATGAGTTGTAGAGTGTTTGCTCCGGAATCCGTATTGCTGTGGGATGAGAATTTGATTTTCTTCGAGGAATTCTTGGATCCTATTTAGAATGACTGCTTCAGGCGATTTTGCTTAAGGTCGACAGTAAACTGATCGGCCTGTAGGAGGAAGCCAGCGTAGGGTCTTTTCCGGGTTTCAGGATCGGTGCGATGATTGCAGTTTTCCAATTGGTTGGAAAGTGATGTAGGCGGAGCATAGCGTTCAATAATTTGGAGAATTTACATAGCATTTTTGCTCCCATTTCCTTGATCATCTTGTTACTGATTTTGTCAATACCAGAGCTTTTTCGGTTCTTTCTCTTCTCGATATATCTAATAACCTCTGATGGCATAATTAAGGGTGTGTTGTTTGTGTGTGTTTTTGTTTGGAATTGTGTGATGAGTACCGAAACCGAGTGTTCTGTATCAGGGTTAGAAATGTTGTGAGTGCGAAATTGAGATGCATAGTGATCTGCAATAGACTCAGCTTTCTCTGTTGCAACTCAACTCTTGCTGAGATCCGATGGCTGAGTGACGTCATCTCGAACTATGAACTCTCGCTAGAGATCACGAAAACTCGGGACTGACTCTCACGCTGCGTCGTCGAACATTTAACTTCATTATGTAAAAATTATGTAACCGTTACGCTTCATTAAATAGTTGTTAAGAAGTTTATCATTTATGGATTATCCCTCTCAAGATTTTACAGATAGAGTCCCTGAGAAGAATGCTCCAGTGGCCCTGGCCGAACCCCTTGGAACAAGGTAAGCAGTTTTGTTTTACCTTGATTAATTAGTTTAGAAGTAAGATAAAGAATATAAAATAATATATTGTGGCGCCATAACGTGGGGCCATTGGGTGAATTTAGAACTGAAATTTAATAGATTTTGCTTAAGCAAAAACATGGATTTAGAAAAATTAAAAAAGAAACGATCTGCTATAAGAGCAGTAGTTTACGAGGCTAATAAATAAGATAGAAACAGAAATTGCTAATGAGGGGGATAAAATGTAATTGAAGAAACGGTTGCTCAGTTAATTAGTAAAGAAGAAGAACTAATCTTAGCGGATAATGGTATTAAAACTTTAATTGATGTAACAAATTTAGAAGATGAAATAATGTCTAGAGAAGAGTATAAAAGTAAAATTATTGTTTGGAAATTACGCGCAAAAAGATATTTAGATACTAATCCACATAGCGCTAATTCTACTTCATGTGGAAATGTCACTGAATCGCAAAACAAAATTAAACTTCCGAAATTGGCCGTGGAAACATTTTCGGGAAAGGACGTGTGCAGTTGGCCCGGGTTTTGGGCACGATTTGAGACAGCTGTACACAGAAAACGAAAGTCTGCATGCAGTAGATAAATTTAACTATTTAAAGTCAAATTCTTACTTCCGATGCAGGAACTGCAATACAAGGGTTGGCGTTAACAGCGGAGAATTACGAGAAGGCTGTGAAGATATTAAAAGATCGCTTCGGACACAAAGAACTAATAATAGATACCCATATGAACAATTTATTAACTCTGACTTCCGGTTAAAAGGTCTTGCGATGTAACAGCAGTTCGAAAAAATTATATGATTTGTGAAGTACAAATTAGAGGATTAGAATCGTGTAATATTTTACCGGATTCGTACAGTAACTTATTGTATCCGATATTAATAAAGGTGATTCCGAATGATTTAGCACTAGAATTTAATAGGAAATATGAAGATGATAATCAGACAAAAATTACGAATTTGCTTCATTTTCTAAGGAAAGAAATAGAAAGTCGAGAACGTACAGGATTTTTAATTAAGCCAACAGATTCTGAAGTCACTGAAAAGAAATCCATTTTGAAAATAAGCGGCAGTTTGGAGAACGTTTTCGAGACAGCGAAAGAAATCGGGATTATAATAAGGGTAGAATTCCTTCAGCGGCAGCGTTAAACACATCACTATCTAATAGCTGTTTATTCTGTTTTGAAAATCATACGTTAGAATCATGTCAAAAAACTGTGCCAGAGAACAAGGAAGCGTTAATGCGAAGTGGATTTTGTTTCAGGTGCCTCAAAAGACGCCATTTAGCTAGGATGTGCAAATCGAAACTAACTTGTGGTATTTGCGATCGGCGACA